GGAATAGAGTTCTCCCCATTCCGTCCCATCCCAACCCATCCCGTTCCATCTCCCTGCAAACACCCCTGATGGTGCTGCGTCCTTGGCAGTGCTCCCTTTCCAGGCAATGCAACAGGCTGGAATTGTCACACACCACCAAAAAGACACTTTGCAGAAAGGGACTGGGCCAAGTCTTGCCCCACATAGAGGGTAGGAGAGTGCTTTGTGGGGTTTCTGGGCATAAAAGACAAGTGTGTGCAGGGTCAGGAAGCACCCTTGCACAAGCACCCCTCACGGGCAGTCCCACTGGGTCCCTGCCACCCCCTTTGTTAGGATCCCTGTGATCCCAGGCAGTGCCAGCCCAATCTTCTCCTAATGTCCCAGGGATGGGGGGAAGGAAGTCTGGAGTCCAAGACCCAGACAGTAAAAATCCCCCTTGGCCAGGGAAAGGCCAGCAGGGAATGTGACACTGGGATCTCCAGAGGCCGATACCAAAAGAGCAACACAGGGACAAGTGGGTTTCCCAGCTTTATTTGCCACTGCAGAACTCCCAGACCACTCCCAAGCCCTCCTCAGGCCACCCGCTTCTCCAGCAGTGCCAGCACGAGTGCTGACCCTTGCTTTGCCTCTTCCAGCAGCCCGGAGACCTTCTGGGACATCTGTGTGGGGACAAGATGTGTCGTTTACTGCTCAACAGAACACAGGAGCCATCCCCCATCCACCCCATGCATCCCACTGGTGGCAAAGGGAGGGAGTGCCCGGGCACAAGTGGTCCCAGGGGCTTCCTCTCTGTCCCTCCTCAGCCCCACCACCAGGCCTGGGGCACACACACAGCCCCTGCTTATTACCACAAGCTTGAACTTCTCATCCGTTATGTCTTTGAGGTTGATCATGACATTGAAGTAAGCTCCAAACACAGCTGCTTCCAGCATTTTGGCTCCCACCTGGGAAAAGACAGGCTTGCGAGCAGCTCTCCTCATCAACCAGCACCAGCACACTGTGCTGCAGAAGAGCAGACCCCTTACCCTACAGGACTTCCACCCTCCAACACCAAGCGGCACAGAACACTTTCCAATCTGGTGGGATTCTCAGGATGTAGCTCAAACAGTGGGAAGCATTGCCACACACAACAGGAAACTCAAGCAAGGGCTGGTGGAGGTCAACTCTCCTACAAGGAGCTGTTTTTGCAAGCTGACAAATAGTGGGTGGAAAGCACTGGGCCTGTTTGGGAAGCACAGCTGGACAGATGATCCCTGCAGGTCAGGACATGAGGACACTTTGCAGGGCAGAGTGTGAGCCTGGGGACATTCCTGGATGTCGGATTTGCAGACCAGGTTGCAGTGTTGTGCCAGTTCCTTCAGAGCAGGCCAGAGCCCACTCACCTTCTCTGCCAGGGCATAGGGCACCCTCACGGCCGTCTTCAGTCCCTGCTGCATGGCAGCCACGCGCCTGGGAGGGGGGACAGCCCTGGCTCAGTGCTGGGTGCCTGTGCTCCCCCAGTCTGACAGTGCCCACCAGCCCAGCTCACCTCTCCTGCTGGCTGCTGCCGCACAGCGTCTCTCCTTAGAGGCCAGCGGGTGAGCCAGAGGCAGGGAAAGTTGGCATGGGGATGGGGAAGGGAATTTAACGCTCCAATTTGGCCACCAAACCTGCTCCCACTGCCTGCTCAAGTGACCTGCTGTTCCACAAGTGGCCGGAAGCAGCCACTGCTCCCAAAACAAGCCAAGTGAAAGATGCAGGCAGCAGGATCCCCCCATCCAGGCAGGGATGGGCACCGTGATACAAAGTAGGATGGGATGGGGGTCCCTAGTCAAGGATGCGCTCCCGCAGGTGAAACGGAGACAGGGAGTCCAGACCCAGTGAACTGACCACCTGCAAGGAGCAGCACGGCTGCGTCAGCTCCGTCATGACAAGTCCTGCTGCAGCCTCAAGGGACAAAGGACAAGACATGGCTGCAAGCAGAGAGGGGCTGCACAAATGAAATCCCCCTGCCCCAGCACGCACAGACACGCAGCCAGCACTGCAACAAGGAT